TACCTGTGTGTGTGTTCTTCCTCTTCCCTATTTTCATGACCTGACAGGCCCAGCACCGGTCTACCACACTCTGAGCCGCTTGCTTCTGATGGTGCATACGGACCTGCCCTTTGTCCAGTAATGCCAACATTTTCCATTCCCCTAAGTGAGTCACTTGGTGGAGGTGTGTGAGAAGATGCCTCCCCAATTCTTCTGGGAGAATAAGTTTTCTCTCCAAGTCCATATACCATCCAATCTGATCTTTTTCTATCTGTGGTGATTTCTCAGCCCTCTGTATGTCTTTTTCAGAGTAATTGGGAGTAGGGGGCAGGGGTTCCAGTTGCGGGCACAGTAGGTTAGTTACTAAAGTTCGTACCATTTGGAGGGCAGCTCTCTTAGCTGTCTGGTCCGCTGCTCGGTTGCCTCTTGCTTCAGGGGAGTGTCCCCTCTGATGTCCCGGGGTGTGAACCACCGCTACCATTCACGGCCGGGTCACAGCTGATAACAAGCGAAGGATTTCTGTCTGGTTCTTCATTTCTCTTCCTTCTGTGTTTTTGAACCCACGCTCCCGGTAGATGACGCCATGTATATGAAGAGTTGCATATGCGTAACGACTGTCAGTATAGACCGTTAGCCTCTTTCCCTCCGCCCTTTCCAATGCCTCCGCCAGGGCGATAAGTTCAGCTTTCTGAGTGGAAGTTCCTGGCGGTAAAGCGTCGGCCCAAATAATCTCCTCCCGGTTATCTACCACCATGGCCCCTGCATACCTTAGTCCATCCTGTACGAAACTGCTTCCATCCATGAAACAGATGAAGTCACTGTTTTCCAACGGGCAGCCTCACAAGTCCTTTCTGACCGTATTTACCTCTGCGAGTATTTCTGAGCAGTCGTGCACAGGTTTATCTAGGTCAGGGTTAGGTAGCAGGGTGGTGGGGTTTAAAACTATTGGTGCTAAGAATTGTACCCTTGGAGTGTCAAGTAATAGACTCTTATAATGAGTTAATCTGGCGTTGGTTATCCATTTCCCCAGAGGCTGTTTGAGCACTCCTTCAATGGCATGGGGAGTGGTTACTTTCAAAGTCTGTCCATGGGTTAACTTATCTGCATCTTTAACTAGCAGAGCGGTGGCAGCAATAATTCTCAAGCAAGGGGGCCATCCTGCTGCTACTAGATCCAATTTCTTTGAGAGGTATGCTACTGGCCTCTTCCATGGCCCCTGTTGTTGTATTAGGACCCCCTTGGCTATTCCTTTTTTCTCATCAACAAACAGATGAAATGGTTTAGTGGGGTCAGGTAATGTCAATGCTGGGGCTTTAAGGAGTGCTTCCTTAAGTTCTTTAAAAGCTGAGTCCCTCTCTGGAGTCCAGTCCCACTCCGACTCTTCTCTACTGAACTCATAGAGTGACTTTGCTTTTGTGGCAAAATCTAAAATCCACAGCCGGCAATAACCTACTGTTCCTAAAAATTCTGTTATCTGCCTCGGGTTTGTGGGTCAGGGAATCTGTAGGATAGTCTGTTTCATGGCTTCAGTGAGCCACCTCTGCCCAGCTCTCAACTTGTACCCCAAGTATGTGACTTCTGGCTTAGCTATCTGAGCTTTCTTGGAACTAGCTCGAAACCCCAGCTCTCCCAGAGTGGTGAGCAGTTTCCTGGTTGCTTCAAGGCACCCTGCCCGATCGGGGGCTGCTATTAACAAGTCATCCACATATTGTAGTAAAGTTACTTGCGAGTTTTGACCCCGGTACTCACGTAAGTTGTCACTCAAGGCCTTGTTAAACAAAGTGGGTGAGTTCTTGAACCCTTAGACCAACCTTGTCCGGGTCAGCTGGCTGAGGACTTTATCCGTTTCATCAAACCATTCAAAGGTAAAAATGTCTTGACTCTGCAGGGCTAGGGGCAGGCTAAAGAAGGCATCCTTCAAGTCCAGGGTAGTATACCACACATGATCTGGAGGAAGATTACTGAGCAGCATGTAAGGGTTAGGGACTGTGGGATGTATGTCTTCAACTTGGTGATTTACCTCCCTCAGATCCTGCACCAGTCGGTATTCCCCCCCTGGTTTCTTTATTGGTAGGAGGGGTGTATTCCATGCAGACCGGCACCTCTTTAGTACCCCTTCCCATAACAGCCGCTGGATATGGGGTTGTATGCCTTTCCGGGCTTCCCTGGGCGTGGGATACTGTCGGACTCTTACCGGTATGGCAGAGGATTTTAAGTCCACAATAACGGGTGGTCAGTGTTTCGCCAATCCAATTCCTCCAGTTTCTGCCCAGGCTTGGGGAAACTCTTCCAGCCATGGAGCCATATCCATTAAGCCTGCACGTTGGTCTTCTACACCTTTATACAAGTGGTATTCATCATGTAAGGCGACCATCAGGACCTGTAGAGGGGAGCCTTCCCCATCAGTAACCTGGACACTGTTTTTGTGAAAGAATATATGGGCTTGGGGTTTGGATAATAAATCTCTTCCTAACAGTGGTCCAGGACAGTCAGGTACAATCAAGAATGAATGGGACACTTGTTTAGTTCCCAGGTTCACTTGTCGCTGTGTTGTCCAATGATACTGCTTCGCCCCTGTTGCCCCCTGGACCAGGTTAGTTTTTGAAGAAATCTTTCCCTCCTTCTTATTGAGGATGGAGTACTGAGCCCCTGTATCTACCAGGAACTCTACTGGCTTCCCCTCCACCTTCAAGGTTACCCAAGACTCAGGGAGGGGTTCTGAGTCCCGTCTCCCCTAGTTGCTGTCCTCACCTGCCACCAACGTTCTAACAGGAGTAGGCTTTTCATATTTTTTGTTCTCTTTCTTTGGGCATTCATTCTTCCAGTGTCCAGTCCCTTTGCAAAATGCACATTGGTTCGTGGCCAGGGGTGGGTCTCGGCAGGGCCTGTCATGTTGGTCTGGTCTCCTTCCTCTCCCTTTCCCTATGTCCCTCTGAGCTCCAGCAAAGAAAATCTTTGCTAACTCCTTCTGATTTTGTTTATTCTCTTTAGCTTGGAATGCTTGTTCCTCCCTCCGTATTCTTTCCTCCCTTTCTTCTGGGGTTTCTCTAGTATTATACACCTTTTCTGCTACTTTCATTAAGTCCTGTAGGGTCTGTTCACCTAATCTATCTATCTTCTGAAGTTTTCTTCTGATATCAGGGGTTGCTTGGTTTACAAAAGATAGGACCACTGCTGCTCTACTCTCATCGGCTTGTGGGTCCATAGGGGTATACAGTCTAAATACTTCCATCCTCCTCTCTAGTGCTGCAGGGCTCTCCATTGGCCCCTGCCTGACTGAGTTTACCTTGGCCAAATTCGTCGGCTTCCTTGCCGCCGCTCGGAGACCGGCCATTAGAATCTGGTGGTACTTTTGGAGATGCTCCCTACCTTCTGGTCGCTCAAAATTCCAACCGGGACGAGATAACGGGAACCCAGCATCAATTAAATTCTGAAGCGTTGTCAGCTGCCCATTGTCTCCAGGCACATTTTTCCTGGCCTTGGTCAAGATTCTCTCTTTTTCTTCAGTGGTGAACAAAACCTGCAATAGCTGCTGACAATCATCCCAAGTGGGGTTATGAGTAAACACTATAGAATCTAACAAATTAATTAGGCTTTGGGGGTTTTCAGAAAAGGGGGCATTCTGTGCTTTCCAGTTATACAGGTCCAACGTTGAAAATGGCCAGTACTGCCAGGTTCTGCTTCCATCCTCACGGGGCGGGCCTATCGCTCTGAGGGACAGCTCCTGGACAGTAGACGATGGAGCTTCAGCCTCCTGGGAGCCCCTCTGGTGTGGGCGGAGACCGGAGGCTGGGCCTGTAATGATGGGCGGTGTACTTTGAGCACTCGCTCCACTTCCTCCCAATACTTGTGGAGCCTGGAGAGGGTGGGAAGGTGACGTAGGGGCATAGGGAGGTGGAGATACATCACTTTCTAGATCTATCAGATTGGGGTGAGTTTGGGAATCAGGCAAAACCGGTGGAACAGCTGCTCGGGACTCAGGTCATCTCGGTTTCTCCTTTTCGCTAGTCCCGAGTGAAGATGCTAACACCTTAATAGAGAGATTTGGAAGAAAAGGTTTTAGCCATGGGGGAGGGTTAGCCACCAAATCTTGCCACACTAAAATGTAAGGAAATTGGTCCAGGTGCCCACAGGGGCCTGGCACTTGGACTCGTTTGAATATGGCTGCGATCACTTTTCCATCCAATGAGCCTTCCGGAGGCCATCCTACCTTAAGAGAGGGCCATTCTGAAGAGCAAAAAGTTATTAGTTTATTTTTCTTAATTATCACAGACAAATTAGATCCTCTGGTT